CAACAAAACAATGCTCTCAAGATTATGAAGGTAAACGTTGCATATATTCATGTGTGAAGGCTTGAAGCCGCACCTATTTAAGTGGCTGTAGGCTGTAGCATGCACTACCTTGCCGGGAAAAGGAGCTCACTGTCAATTCCCAGCACCAAAGGCCCATTTTGCAGCAAAATGATGGTCCACAGAGGCTGCAATTCTTGGAAGGACTAGCACTTGCATTGCATGTTCAATATTAGCTTCCAAATTTTTTTTTCTCTCTTCAGAATCTGCTTGGATTAATGGTCCCGACTTCATATAGTAGAGTGTGCGAATCTTGAAAACTTTGGCTCCGCTTGAATGCAGCGTTTTTTTCAGTATTAATGGAGCCCAAGAAGAATTAAATTAATCTTATGTCTTCCATCTTAATTCTTACTTAAATACAGGAAAATTCTCCCTTTTTTTTTTTGGTGGGATAGTGGTTGGAAAAGAGGGCAAGTGATTATGTGAACCATGAAGCCAAGTGGACACAGTAAATCCAAGGCCCTGATCCAATTCAGCCATTTAACTTTTAAAACTACCATTTAACTCCTGAATTGTAATTGTCTTACTAATATAATTTATCTTGCTATTTTTTTAACACGTGCTCTGCTCTAAAGGCACTCGTTAACACACCTAATATTTATCTGACCTATCATATACATACACACATGCTAATAATTTTTATTTTTATTTTTTACATTTATATACTATTTAACCTTATCTACGTTCCCTTGTATATTATTTACTTTCTCTAATTAATTTTATATTTTTAAAATATAACACCCGAAATATATACCGTTTATCTTGTGACTTGAAGTATCAAACAGACAATGCATACACATATGATGAGTGCAGGGGATACACCAAATTATTTCATTTTTCTCGAGGTGAATAAAGTACAAAATGAGGAAATTGCGCCCAACCCGTAACATACGTTACTTACCGCAATTGATCTCCATTTCCCAAGATGTTAAAATATGAAAGGAGGTATAAAATACTACTATTGACAGCTAGTATAAGATTGGCAGTGGTATATAAATTTTTGCTCGTAAAACAAGCAAAGAGAATGGGGAAAAATTGTGAGCGCATCCCAAGGGTCAACGTTCGCACGACAAAGTACCCCAAGCCCCAGGTGAGGTGCCGCGTTCCCATTGGTTGGTCTTTCTTCTTCTGCATCTCATTCTTTCACGTCCACACACACACACACCTAAATGGACAAAAAGTGCAAAGCTCCTCATCAGAATATCCGAATCTAAGGCCGAAATTGAAATTGTATATTTTTTCCTCATCGTGAACATTACCCTTATACATATACAAACACTTTAGTAATCGTTACTAGAGCAAAATGCTAATTTAATGCCTAAACAATTTTGCAAAAAGCTAAAATAGTCTATAAGCTTTCTTATGAGTTAGTTTAGTTCCTCAATTACTTTTACAAAGCCGAAATGGTTCTTAAACTTTATTACGAGTCACTTCAGTCTCTTAACTATTTTGCTTAAATCAAAATAGTCTGTTAAATTATTTACGTGGCTAGTTTGATCTTTATTTCATTAATCTACCTAGGTTATCGTATTTCGCACCGACGATCAGGGGTAAAATAGGAAATCCAATTATTGCTCCTTGTTAAAACAATAGGAAAATAGGTATTTGTAGGGAAATCGATAATGAAATTTAGAAATATAAAGAACAAAAGCAAAAACATCATTTTATGTAGAGCCAAAAAAAAAAAGAGGTCATGCCATAAAAATAAAATTTCAAATGGACCCAACTCATTCTCTTAAACCGAGGAAGGGAAACTAATACAACAACATGAGTATGCAAAGAGTTAGAAGAAATGTGCTAACATTATGATTATCCTTTTAAGAATTGAAGCTGAAAGGAGCTCAACTTTCTTTTTTTATTTCCATATGATTTAATTTCATTGCCAAATATCTGTTTTTTTATGTTTTAATAAGGATTATGGTTGAATTCCTATTTTGTTGTTAGTGTAGAAAATTAGCAAATTGGGTGGATGAATCAAATAAGGACCAAACTAGTAATGTAAATATAGTTGAGGGACTCTTTCGATTTAAGTAAAAAAAAAAAAATTTGAGAGGCTAAATTGGCTCATAATAAAGTGTAAACACTTTTTCAGCTTTGTTAAACTAGTCTAAAGGACTAAACTAACTCATAATAAATTTTGGAGACTAAATAATAGCTTATGGTTTTAATTGGTGCTTTTCTCTTATTACTATTTAAATTAATATTTCCTACACTCACAATATACATATATATATACATACATACTAATGGACATGAATACATATAAAATTTGAATTTTGAATATAAGATTCTAACTCAAGTGCTTCCAATGCAAAAGGCTTACTATTCAAAAAAAATATATCCTTACAATTGAGTCACAATGCGTAGACATAATTTTAGTGCTTAGGTTTGTTTAATCACTTGCAACGTTCGATCTACATTTGTTGTGATTGCATGTAGAGAGAGAAGCACGTCTTTCAACCAACGCTAAAATTAACATACTATAATGTTGAATCCCACACAATTTGACGAGGCCCACCCCCCTCCCCCCCCCCCCCCCAACAAAACAACTACCCTGAATTGACAATTCTTTTATTTTATTGTTTTCTGTTTGTCAATTATATGCACTCACACACACACACATATTAATCAATTTCGATCTTCAAAAGTTGAACATGCTAGGAAGTATTGAAGAGCAAAAAATAATTCAGATGCTCCTGTGTAATTATGTCTACAAAAATTAATGAGAAGCCCACCAAGCATTTGAAATTATAGAGGATTCGAACCCTATAATTCATAAATTAAACGCTCTATTAGATACATCCACTTTTCTCTTAAAGCTTCCCTCAAATGATGTCCGTTTTTTCAAAAATAAGTTTTTTTTTTTAAATATAATGCTACAGTAATATATAATAACTCAAAAAACATCTCATCTATACAATATATCAATTATTTCAAAAAAAATTTATAGTCTATAAAAATTTTTCATATACACTGCTACAGTATTTTTTTTCAAAAAACAGCTAATTCAAACGGAGCACTGTAAATGAATTATTTGATAAGTGTTTTGTACCAATCAAATTTTGGACTTGAGTATGGGATAAGATTTGTTGAAAGGCACCCTGAATTTTTTTTTTTTTTTTGGTTTCTTGATGACTAGAAAATTACAACCAAAAGGACTAGTACTAGTTTTTAGTCTTGAAGCAATGAGGCATCCATACCTAATCCGGTGGGTTTGCATCAACAAGGATTGCTAAGATAAACTTAACTAATACTTACAAGACAACTGGTCCCTTGCTTTGAATTTGTAACAAGCTAATTTGTCTTGACCTTATAAATAGTGGGGAAGCATTTATTTGGAAGTCTCTTTAGTATACAATTTGCATAAAATTCTTCTCTTGAATAGTGTGACTTTGTCAACTATTCTAGTACACTACTCTTTTTTTTTTCTTTTTTTTTTTGTGTCCTGCTGAAGCCAGAGCATTTTATAATAATATGCTGCATCTTTTTAGGATTAGTGAATTATTATTGTTTGGTGTACCAATCCAATCCAAGGTGTCTTTTTCAGCTATCCAGTCGTGAGTTGTGAACCATTTTGGCATTTTATCAAAAGCAATAAGTCAGGGAAGGCAGAGAAAATTAGTGCAGAAATAATATAATGCATCAAGTAGTAGTGTGTGTGTGTGTGTATATATATGCATCAAGTAGTAGTGTGTGTGTGTGTGTATATATGCTCCGTTATACTATCAATTTAAAGGATAAAAGATCAACGTTTGAGTCATTCCATGTTGTTATTGGATTAATTGCAAAATGAACCCTTAAATTAGTACTTACTTTCATTTTTTCCATACAACTATTGGATTTTTCAATTTAGTACCTTATACTATCAACTTGTGGAAGATTGTTCGAATTATTTGAAAATCAATGAATTTTTCTAACTATTTTTTGAACAAAGAGATAATTTGCATTTCGTCTACTAAAGTGCTCTTGTTCATTTAAGAGTACTAGAATCTTTTCATTTTAAATGAAAATTTTATAAGATTTTTTTAATTTATCTTATTAAAGTGTTGCAAATTGATAGCATAAAGTATTTACATTATGCAATTGATTGTTTGGGTTAATTACTAATCGATTATTGTTCAAGGGTACAAAATTGAAACTGTTAAATGTCGAAGAAGCAATCTAAATTCTGAACCCACACAAATTTTTCAATCTTTAATCTTTGAGAGCATAATCTATAATTTTATTTAATGTACTATATGGTTATGTTCCTTATAATTAATTTGATTTGAGATTTAATTATTGGTCAATCAATATTTTGATATTATTACATTTTAAAACAATAAGAGATGTAGGACATAGTATAGAAATGCTTAATTAAGGCTCCGTTTAGGATTGCGATGCGTTTATAGAAAAAGAGCTTTTAAGTACTTTTAAAGTATTTGATAACTAATTTCTTGTAATTTAAGTAGCTCAGTTTTTGACAATTTAAAAACATTTATGTTAGAAGTGCATATTTATAAGTTACCGCAATCCCATATGGGACTTAAAGCATAAACATAATGTTAGCTTATATTTTGGCCTTTATTCCATTTAACTCAAAGTAAAAAAAGAATGGTCAAAATCCATGTGTCAAAGTTGCATAAATGATTTATAAACAAAATTAGTTTTTATTGTTTGGTAACTTCTTAAATGCTTTCCTCTCCACTAAAATTCTTTAAATTTATAATACGTAAAAAAGTTTCAAAACTTTGTGGTAACATAACTACATTCCATCACCAAAATTTGCCCAAAAAAATCGTAAAAAATGGAGAAGAAAATTTATTTTTCACGGATTAACAAAAAAAAAACTACTAGATAAGTGGGAAAGGATCTCATCACTTGATAAATCCCCCCCTAGTCCATATGTTCCCCAATCACTCCCTAGATTTTCTACTCCCGCAGCCGCAGCCCGCAGGACCACAGCTTCCCCCTTTCTTGAAATATATATACCCCAATCCCTCTCTTCCCCTCTCAACTTTGTATTTCTCCCCAGTGCACTGCCAAAAACCCCACCAACCCCTTTCCCCTTCGCCCTCCCACAACCCCACCACCACCTGCTTCATCACCGCCACCACCGCAATGGGGAAAGGCTCAGCCTTGTCAGATGGGTTGGTGAAGAAAATCATCCTCTCCTACACTTATGTAGCCATCTGGATCTTCCTTTCCTTCACTGTAATCGTCTACAACAAATACATCCTTGACAGAAAGCTCTACAATTGGCCATTTCCCATCTCCCTAACCATGATCCATATGGCCTTCTGTTCATCCTTAGCATTTTTGCTCGTCCGAGTCCTTAAACTAGTCGAGCCTGTGGCCTTGTCTCGCCAGCTTTACCTCAGTTCAGTGGTCCCAATTGGAGCCCTTTATGCCCTTTCCCTCTGGCTCTCAAACTCTGCTTATATTTACTTATCGGTCTCCTTCATTCAGATGTTGAAAGCTTTAATGCCTGTGGCTGTCTACTCTATTGGGATTCTCTTAAAGAAAGATACTTATAAGGGCAACACTATGCTTAACATGGTTGCTATTTCGTTTGGGGTTGCTATTGCTGCTTATGGTGAAGCAAAGTACGATTCTTGGGGGGTTTTGCTTCAGTTGGGTGCTGTTGCTTTTGAGGCTACTAGGTTGGTTTTGATCCAGATCTTGTTGACTTCTAAGGGAATCAATTTGAATCCCATTACTTCTCTGTATTATGTGGCTCCAAGTTGCCTCTTTTTCTTGTTCATTCCTTGGATTTTTGTGGAATACCCTGTTTTGAGGGAGAATTCCAGTTTCCATTTTGATTTCGTGGTGTTTGGGACTAATTCGATTTGTGCATTTGCTCTGAACTTGGCTGTTTTCTTGCTTGTGGGAAAGACTTCTGCTTTGACCATGAATGTGGCTGGGGTGGTAAAAGATTGGCTTTTGATCGCGTTTTCCTGGTCGGTGATTAAGGATACTGTGACCCCTATGAACTTGATCGGGTATGGATTGGCGTTTTTGGGTGTTGGATATTATAATCATTCGAAATTGCAGGCGCTGAAGGCAAAAGAGGCGCAAAAGAAGTCGCAGCAGGCTGATGAGGAGAGTGGAAAGCTATTGGGAGAGACAGAAGGGAAAGATGGGGTTGAGGGAATTGGCAAGAAGGGTGACACTCAGGCCTGATTTGTCGGTGGAAGATTGAGTTTGTGGAAGAAAGATGGGGACATTGACTAATAATGTACGAAGAAGATGAAGAAAAAATCAGGGTCCCTCCCTCAGAGTGCGTTCTTCTTGCTCATTTGATGGGTCTGGACTTAGTAGGAAACGTTGACAGGATGATTTGTTAGTTGTTACTTGTGCTTTATTTAGTGTTTGTTTCTTTCGGAAATGGGATTTGAGATTCGTCATTTCTCAGTTATACGGCCAGTTAATGTATCCTAGTGGAGTAAGATTCCATAAAACCTCAATTTATCTTCTTTATTCTGATACGTAATTTCATTTTTTCCCTCCTCTGTTCTGCATGTAGGTCTAAACTTATTAGTGTATATGAAAATCAGGATGCTATGGTATAACTAATGCAGATCTGGTCATTATGATTTGACACTGTTGTTTATGTTTGCTTGTCTGATGAAGCGAATGTTTGTTTGAATTTGTGGATCTCATCGCAATCATCAGGAAGCGGAGCTATAAATATGGGAACCATTGCGCCAAAAGGATTTGAAAACTCAAGTTTTGGAATTGGAAGCCATAATAATCATTACTGACTTAGGCACATTTTGGGACAAGGACCTTGTGTTTTTGTTGCATGGATGGGACTTTGTTGAAATTTGCAGTATATAGTAGTTGCGTTATTGGGGTAAACGTTTTTAGTGGTAGGATTGTTCTTTAGAATGGTGTGATGTCTTGTATTCTGATGCTTGACGAAACTCTCTATTTGTTAAAAGTTCATTGTGTCAAACTGGCAACATGATGGGATCAAGAGAAATTTTCATTTAAGATGCAACAGGAATAGGTTTAGCAGGAGAAGAAAGAAAACTGGAAGGAGGAATTAATGATTACACACAAGCTTCTTTCTGAAGGTCCAAATAGGATACCATTGCAATCACTATCAAGCATTAAAGTGGTTGTATCAATATCACTGGCAATATTGTAGTTGAAACTTGATTACTACTATTTTTAGATGCCAAAAGGTTGGAGAAGAAAATTGGCAAGTGAAAAAATGCATTCCATGGTAAATTCGCAATTTGGCAGAATATTTTTGCCTCTCAACCCTGCATAACGTGGGGTTAATTTCGAAGATAAAGCTTGGCTTCTGCAGCAGTTACTTTTCTTGGAACCTTAATCTAACTCGGAGCTTATGGTGGTGGTATTTGGTTCAAAGCACCAAGAAAATTGTTATCAAGGTAACTTGATGCAGAGAGTAGTATTGTTGGAACTCTTGATTGAATTTGGTATTCCAGTACTTTGAATGTGATCAAAGATATAAAAGTTAACGAGTTTTAGGGGAAAGGAGAAGGCCGGGCATGTGAAGAAATGCAGCTAATTTATGGGATCACAAGAAATCAGCGGTAGAATGAATATCAGACAAAACATGTGTTGCTGAGTGAGGGATGGTGATTGCCATACTGATCTAATTTTAGTAATATCTGCATCAAGTCATGCTTCGTTGTTACTGAAAAAAATCTTGAAGATTTTCATTATTTCTGCGGCATTTAGCTCGTACTATTGTGACCTATCGGATACAGGTGAAACGTTTTACCGACTAACATTTTACCGACTAGATTGACCATGTTGCGCTTCATTGCCATACTTTTAGGGGGTTGAACACCCAAAAATGCGGTGCTGCATCTGTATTGAAGAGGGAACTCTGAGGCCAAGACATGCAATCCAGTGCACTAAGAAATTATTCCATTCCCGCACTCGGTGTCATCTATAGCTGTAAAGAGTATGCCTAAAATAGGCCGTCATACTTTAAAGAAATGCTGACTCTAGGAGCTTACGGAAATCTTCAAACCCTTCTCCTTCCTTACGTCTCAATTGAATCCTCTGTGGACTTCTTCCTCCCGGTCCCGGGTGCTAATAATCTTCTCAATTTAAACTCCCTCCTTTGTGGACTTCTTCTCAAATGGGGTTTGGATTGTAAAAAATTACACTTTATTTACACTGATTGATATGCATCATCAACACATTTTCTAATTACTTTTTTATCTCACATACATCATATCAAAAAAATGCTACAGTACTTTTTTCATAAAATTATCTCAAATAATTTACAATCCAAACACACTTAATTCGACGAACTTTCACCCATGGGCAGGGAGCTCCTCTATGCTAAACTCATATCCCGTACAAATGTTAATATGTTGATATTGATTAATTAAGTCATTAATGTACCAATTACCAAAGCTATGAATTGTAAATGGAAGGGTGTCTAACTTGTTTGGGTTGTAGTTTTCACGGAAAAATTTTTATGGTGGGGTGTCTAACTTGTTTGGATTGTAGTTTCCATAAATATATTTTTATATTTTTCATAAACACATTTTTTAATCACATTTTTATCTCATATATATCAAATTGCTATAGTATTTTTTTTTAATAAAAAATTCTGTCATTATTGTACTTTTAAGGTGGTTTGAATGCAATGTGTAAGTGGTCATTAGGGCCGTTAGGGCTGCCATGTTCCACTAATCTAAATTGGATGGTTATTATGGTGCCAACTTTTGCCAAACAATTTTTATTTTATTGGTAGAATTTTATGTCCTCATGGTTATGAAGTCAATTCCATTAAGTTGCATGTTTCTTGAATTAGAGTATATATATATATATATATATATATATATATATATATATATATATATATATTATGAATCACATGTATCTACATCTGTTTTACGATCTATAATTAATTTTGTTCGAACTAATTGGACCGTATACAGAAGAATTTCTCTCAACATTATTTTATCCATTTTCATGAATTTTAAACCCAATATCTCATGATTAAAAGGTGCAAGTCCCTTCGCCAGCACCAACATCCATTGATAGTTTAAGCTCTCTATGTGCCATGATGGCTAAATAGGGCCTTGTGGCTGGAACTGGGTGTCATATCATGCAAGCGGACGGAAATGCTTCCTTTATCTCCGGGCCCCTGTGTTTGATTGCCAAAATGCAGCTATTTAATTCTAGTGGGCAATACTTAAAATGTGGTGCTTGTCCTCACCTAGGGATGGCAATGGGTGCCGCGGGCACCCACCCCGTGGGGGCTAATGGGGAGGGGGTTGGCACGGGAAAAAAAATTCCCCCCCCCCCCCCGCTCCATCCCCCGTCCGTCACCCGCTTTAAAAAAATAAATATATAATTATATATATAATAATATATAATTTAATTAGTTACAAACTTATGATAATAATATTATTAGTTATATGTATTATATAATGTCTATTAGTATATATAATATAATTGATATTATTAATTATACTAATAATTATATATGTGTACTAATATAAATTATTAATTGGTTATACTAAATTTACTAATACATTTATACTAAATCCCTAATTACACTTAATACAATAACATTTTTTTCTTAAAAAAAGCACAAGTACAATAATGAATTAGTGATTGTATTTGTGCCAAAAGTGAAAACTTGACTACTTTAGTTATTTATTTCATCATGTTGGATTGTATTCAAATAATTTTTATTTGATTGTTTTTATAAGTTTCAATTGTAAAATTACAATGAATAATAATTTGATGATGTGTTGATATTTTAGTACTTGATTATTTGCTAAAATTTAATAATAATAAAATTATATAACAAATTTTTATTAGCCCTACGGGTGCGGGGGAAACGGGGCGGGGCGGGGGGAGCGGGTGACGGGGAATGGGGCGGGGGCGGGGGGGAGTTTGTAGGCAGCGGGACGGGGGATGGGGGAGGGGTCCCCTGGCCCAACCCCGCCCCGTTGCCATCCCTATCCACACTTGCTGCAATGCAGTAATACATACAGCTATTTATTGGGACAAATTTAGGAGAGATGTAATGATGTATGATGCTAGGAGGAGTAGGGGGAGGAGGTTGGTAGATTTTCCTCTGATGCTTTAAAGGTGAAAGTGGAGCTCTGAAGTTGTCCTTTTGGTCCTTAGATTTAATTAATTCTCCACCCCTTATGGGTAAATATTTCTACAAGTGGAGGATGAATTAAATACCTGCAAGCACTGGAATTAATAGAACTCTCTTTTACTACTACCCTCTCGAGCCAGACTTAATTCTTGAATCTTAGACCTTCTTAATTCCCATAAGTTGCCACTGGGGATTTGGGACAAATCCTAAAGGCTCAAAGGCTTGGCCCTAGGATCCAAGGGATCATCTCTACTTGCACTGTTCATCTTCCCTGCCTGCTAAGCAAAGGAGGAGGAAATGTTGGACCTGTTCCTATCTACCAAAGAAAAAGAGATGAATTAATGTCACAAAAATTTTTTGTGCTATTGTCAAAACTATCTTTTTAGATAGCCATCCTGGTCCAAATTGACCTAGGAGAGTAATATTGGCATGCGGGAAAAACTTATTCTAACATTGAAATTGTGTCTATAGCAATACCATCAGCCAAGATATAAAAGTATATGGGCCATTCCTTAAATACTGTAGCACTTTTTGTGATGTGATATATGTGAGATAAAAAGATAATTGAAAAATGTGTTGACGATACAAATAACTTGCATTCCAAACACTTGTGCATGTGTGATGCAACACAAACTACACACTTGCAAAATTTTATTTAAGGTAAATATGGCTAACAGTCCGTACATTCATTAACTCTACCATTGTTGCTTCTTTCCACCAAACCGCCCTTTTCCACCATAATTGTGATTTCGTGGACTAATAATACCAGCAAGCCACTAACAAGAAGAATCCCAGAATAGACCAGTCATCGTAGTTTCCATTCCTTTTGGTGACTGCGTTATGGAGATATGTAGCTTTCATCCGTACATAAATAAATGCTTGTCCAGAACCAATGGAGAGGACGTGTGGGATCAAGATAAACACACTTAAGCGCAGAAGGGGAGTTGTTTATTGTGCTGCTCTTGCCTGTGAGAGGCGTTTCACCTCAGCTAGTGCTGCTCCAACATGCAGCCATGCTTAATTAGTAAGAGAAGTAAATCAATCCTCTGCAGACTGGCTAACCATGTTAGAGAAAATCAAGCAGTCTTTCGTACTAGTTTACTCAGTGGTTGACAATGAATAGCTCATCTAGGCATGATGCATTTTACATGATTAATCGTCACAAAGATCAAAGAATCATCTGCGTTTAAGCTAATGATGATTGGTAATAATAGTCTCGAGTACTCGCGGATGACTAACAAGTCAGGATCGAAGCGGGACTGCCTAACAGCTGCACTGCTCGCCCTGACGGCATAGCCATATGATTTCGTCACAGACAGTATTATCTCAACTGTCTCGTCCTGGCTTTGGAATACCCTGGAGAGTATCAGGATTAGAAGCATTACCTGGTTTTCCTTCCTACTTTTTTCCCATAAAAGGAACTAGCAGAGGGTCATAAAGTGCCAACCAATCAATATTGCTATTACAAAAATGATAGCAAAAGAGCCAGCAGGAATTTCAAGTTTCGCATGTATCTTCCCATTGTGATAGCTTCTACTGAGAAGGCCATCATCTGACCATCTTCCCCAGATAGGTAGCTGTTTTGATCATCATTTTTACTTCCTCTTTTGTCAAAGAGGAAAGTTCCCAAGGATTTGGATTCAAGGATGTGGACCCCTTTTTTTTTTGGGCTTCTTACCACTGCAGCCTTGTCCAAGAAACTACAGATGCAAAAAAGGTTATATTAGAATTGATGGGTATAAATTGTTACTATTTATGGGAACACAAGAAAACAGCATTTCATCATTGAAGAATAACATGGAGTTCATGGAACTTTCTTTCATAGGAATAATGTCTAGTAGGCAGACTAATAATCACAAAAGTTCTATAGAATGCAAACTAAATATCGGAATTTATCTGAGTGAGGGATTTTGAAAATTCTTGAGAGTCTTCTTACATTCTCTCACTATTTGCAGGAATTTAAGGCCTCTTCTCTTTGTAGCTGCCATGATGACTTGAAGAATGTGGACTATGGGAATTTCTGAACACTTCTTAAATTTGTACCATTTAGTTTCAAACAGAAATGTTAAGTGGCAACAAGCACACACACACAACAAATTCCATAAGCCCAGGTTTGACTTACTTCAGAACCGAAACTGCCATTAGGGTCCCCAAACTAATGAAGACTACCAAAACCAGAAATACTCAACCAGTCTCTAGTGCTATTTGATATAACGTACGTGTAGTGCTGCCATTTGCCAGCTGCTTGCTTGTGATGTACCACCACTGGACAAAGTGTAAACAGCCAAATTATGGACAAGCAAAATTCTCTCCACTGTTTCACCAGAAGTCTTTACATGAGCATAACCCATCTATGAAGTGGTGAAAACGGTTTCTGTCTCTGACCACTATTTCCCTACTGTAGATCTTGGAGATAAACTTAGTAGCAGTATGACAATCCTCACAAACACGCAAGTTTTTCACAATGCGAATAGAAGTTCCAGGAGGTGTCTTCAGAAGGGCAAATGCAATAGCCAACTTCTCACTGTGCCTGTTTAAAGCATCTTCCTTGTCTTCCTCGTCAATATCAAGTAAAACTTCAGAAGTGGTAGCAACATATCCAGCCCTTCTCATCTCCTTCCCCATTTCGTCCAACATTTCATAAATTTCTTTGTATTCATTATGAGTTTTATCTCCGGCAACAAATTCATAAATTTCATTATCCAGCTCAAACATGGTGCTACCTGGAGTTTTTCTAATTCCCTTTTTCCCCATAACCGCCCTAATTGTTGTTTTTTTCTCCCAGTTTAACGATTTTGCATAGATATTAGACAGCAAGACATAGTTGGACTCGAGCATCGGCTCCTGTTTTATGAGCTTCCTAGTCATGCTTTCACTGAGCTTGAGCTCACCATGAGCACGGCAGGCAGTGATTAGTGCTCGCAAAATGACTGGATTTGGCTCAATGGGCATACTCTCAACAAACTCCAATGCGTCTTTAACAAGTCCGGCCCTGCTTAACAGATCAACCATGCACCCATAATGTTCTATCTTGGGCACAATTCTGAATTCCTTCAACATCAAATCAAAATACTGCCTGCCCTTCTCAACTAAACCAGAATGGCTACAAGCACTGAGCAATCCTATAAAAGCAACATCGTCAGGCACTATTCCAGAACTCCTCATGTCCTCAAACAATAAAATGGCCTCCAAACCACGGCCATGCATTGCCATACCAACAATCAAAGAAGTCCACGAAACAATGTCCTTCTCAGCCATGTTCCTAAACAACTTCAAAGCCTTGTCAACATCGCCACACTTGACAAACATGTCAATCAACGCATTGCATAGCTCCACACTCTTCGGAACCTTCTCCTTGTCAATATAGGAAGACACCCACTTCCCAAGCTCAAGTGCACCCAAATCAGTACAAGCAGACAACACTGACACCATAGTAACCTCATCAGGCCTCACTCCAGCAATCTGCATTTTCCTAAACAACCCCACTGCCTCACTTGACATGCCCAACTTGGCATACCCGCCAATCATCGCACTCCACGACACTGAATCACATTTAGGCATCTCATCAAACACTTTCCGGCCGAACTCAATTCCTTCGCCACAAGAACAATACATATGAACCATGGTGTTCAAAACATGAATATCATCGCTAAAACCATATTTCACCGCAGACCCATGAACACTTTGGCCTAAACTCAACTCTCCAATGCCAGCACAGGCCTTAAGAACAAACGGGTACGTAAATTTGTTAGGAAAAATGCAATCTTTAAGCATAATTTTGTAATAAATCAGGGCATTCTGCTTTGAATCCTTTGTTTGAGCATAAGCCCTGATGACAGTGTTGAAAAGGAAGGTATCATAGAGATGGGTTTTGGCATCAAGGCCAAAAATGAAGGAGGAAGCATAATCAATGGCATTGAGGTCAGAAGACGTGGAGGCCAACCTGGTGAGGACAAGTGGGTTCGTTTGAAGGCCTAATTTCAGAATGTGAGTGTGGATTTGGGACAGTTTTGGGAAGTTGTTGCAGAGTTCCAAGAGGGCTAAGCAGTTCTGCTCTGCTGCTCTTTTCTTGCTGGCTGTTTTGGGTGGCGGTGGCAGTGTATGAAGGTAGCGGAATAGCTTGGTTTTGGAGATAAAAGACAGCATTTAGATTTGGCTGATGTCCACAATCTGTCGACCAAACCATCAGGAATTAGTGCCAACAAGAAACCTCATGTCCTAACAAGTGGCTGGTCCCAGCAATATCCACGTCACCTCAACTCTTTCTGCACTGTTTTACAGTTAGTTTCAGAGTCAGAATTGGCGCTTCATCTTTCTTCTTTCTTTTGAATGCTTCCTCTTTCTTCTTATTCTTCTTTCTACTCAATCTCCAATTCCCCATTCCAAATCAACATCTTTAATTAGCAAAAGAGATTCGAAATTAAATGAGAAAGTTGTCGTCTTTGATCTCTCTAGGGTTCGCTCATCAGACCTCAAAACACAACCCCTGTAATTGTAGTGCTGCTCGATTTTACTGCATCACCAGTGATTCTCCCCATTCTTCCATCTCCAATCGCCCTGGTCAGTTTATCATCTCCCTTTATGTATGTCTGTTATGTTGAGTAGTTGGTTGTTGAGCTTGATCATTCTTTTCTTGCAATTTTATGGAATCAGATTAATTTTTTTTCATTTACCTAGTTGGCTTGTCTATTCAGTAGAATGTGGCTTTAAGAATTCTATTTTAGGCAATTTTATGGAATCAGATTAATTTTTTTTCATTTACCTAGTTGGCTTGTCTATTCAGTAGAATGTGGCTTTAAGAATTCTATGTTAGGCAATTGACTAAGGTGGAACTAAAAATTTGAAAACAACTTTAAGGACGTGGGATTTCTTGATTATTTTTTGGCTCCTGGAAGATTTAGCATAATCTCACCAGCTATAACCTGGATGAATCAAATTACTTTTCTTTTTTAGCACGTTCTGGGAAGATATTGCGTTTTGCCAAAGAAAGTAAGAAAGTTGTAAAATTCTTTACCAAATGTGAAACAAGCTATGGATTGAATGCTTTTTAACGCAGTAATCTTCTTTTCAATCTGATCAGTGGTAAATTGCTGCTAGGAGTAGTAAAATTGGGAACCAATTCTAAGGATTTGTATTGACTATTTTAGCATTGAAAATTGCGACAAAGCCTGAAAGTTTTGAACTTGTTCTCAAAAGATAAAGATAATTCTGTTTTATGTTCAACTTATTGATTTGTCTTTTTCACTACAGAAATGTCCAAACTTATTGACACACTAACTTAAGCCACTGCTCAGTTCTTTTCATATTTCGCATGTCAAAATTTGATTATAGTTTAAAAAGTCTGAAAATTATATAATGAGTCGCAATTTCATGAGCACTAAACCATTATACAGAAAGCATAACCTCGTGGCTTCATTGAAAAAAATCGCAAGTTTTCTTCTCTATCATTCTTCCTTCCTTTTCACTTTATTGCCCTCTCTTTGTTAGATATATCCCATTCATGAATTAAAGCCAATGTCATACTGTGTGAGTGAGAAATAAGAGCAACTGAAAACTGGACAAAAAGCAGGTCATGTGAGGTTTTTCTCTCATGGATATGGCTGCTCAAAGGATGGCTAGCTAGAGATCTACCATGTGGTCTTACTAGTTAAACCATTCTGCCAAGATTTCCTTTTATATGCTTGACTCCCTGGACAGAGAAATGCTCCAATCTTAACTTGTTAATCTGTGATCTTGGAGAATGCTTCTATGAAGCTTTTATATTGTTCTTTCTGATGCTTGACAAACAGTTTAATATTCTGAATGGAGACCGTTTAGCTTTGGTTGATTATTGAGTGAAGATTATTGAGTGAAGACTGCTTTAGTTGATTAGTGTTTCTCTAGGGAATCCAAGCTCTCAATCTCACAATGTATCTTGTTTTGCTGGGAACTACATTTTACATGGGTTAGGGTCTATATGCATTAATATATGGATATTGTACTTTGTAATGGAAAATTACGTCAACCTACTGAGGGCTTTATCTGTATATCCTATTAATTTTTTGTCCCACATGTTTGGCCTATTACAATGATATACCTTCCACGCATGAGGAGGGAGAGTATTATTTAATTCCTCTACTCACATGTTCAGCTTTTGCTGGTGGTTCTCCAATGGATTGTTGGTTATGAAGATCTAGATGTGTTACAACTTGATCCTGCAATAGAGAACACTAAAATCACTGGACAAATTGCTCCCCATTTTTGGCAGCATTCAGGTTCTTTACTAGATTTTCTAAACTGTAAAATTGTCTGTTTCTTAGGTGATTTACCTAATATATCATAAGAGGAGAAAGTAAGATAGAGTTCATACTCAAAGTTGGCACCCAGAAAGCTACCGGATCAATTATTTTTTCCCCTGCCTCTTGCTCTGATTATATGCTGAGAGATTGTGCATTATCTTGTTGTATACTTGTGTCTGCACAATGCTCAAAACTTCAGAATATATTTACCGACAAAAAGTATATATTTAGTGTTGCTTCCATATTTTCTTACAAGAATGCTTAGAGATACTGAATGCAGTGATACAGTATATTTTTGGTCCCTTTGGAGCATAATTTTGTTAGGTGCAAGACATTGGTTTTACTAGATTATCTGTGCCTTTGCATTTATTTTCCAAGTTGTTTAGCTGTGAACTCAAATTATCTTTTCAATGGATCTCCTGCAGGGCCACTTGCACAGTATAGGAGTCTTGTTAAGCAAGGGAAGCTGCAGCATGATCCTTACCAGGAAGAGGTTGCTTTTAAACTGGAAAATCTGCTTGGGAGAATGGAGCAATATGAGAAAGATATGGAGGAGTACCATGTAGGCCACTACAGTTTATAGTGGTTAAATAATACTGAAACGCTGTTCCTGGCCTTATGTTATTCCTCATATTCATAGGAAAAGCTTACCAAATGGGAGGAGAAGAGGGAAAATGAACGGCGCAGGCTTTTGATGCAGGAAGCTGAGACCAAACAAGAGGGGGGTGGTATGACATCAATAAGCAAGCAGCGAAATCTTTTCCAAAGATGGATGTCCCGGTAAGGCTATCAATTTTCCCTTGATTTTGTAGCAATACTGAAACTGGATATTTCAATGAATTATACGTTGGTTCACAAAAATCTGAATAGGATTTCCTGTCATTGAACCAGTTGCGAATTCCGTAAAGTTCAGCATGAGGTCCAATTCCTGTATTTTGCTCCCTTCATCAGTCAAAAGAAATATATTTTTTCCCTGCTAGTGATATTTGTCTTCATTCAGGACGAAACATGAAATTGTAGAGCCAGGAGTAGGGAAATGGGTCTCATATCTTAATCGAGAGAAGAAATTAGATTCACTGGTTGGTCGTCGTCCCACTGCTCCTCCAGCCCCCAGAGGATTGTATCTTTATGGGAACGTTGGAAGTGGTTCGTTCCTGCATCTTGATTATCTGCACTTCCTTGCCAATGCACATTTCTGCACTTAAGATTTCTAGTATTTTACTACATTAAGGCACTAAAAGGATTCAATGATTTCACTTATCTTTTATAAAGTAGACATGCAATCTAACATGAATAGCATGTTAATACACAGCATCTCTCTCTATTAATATTATTCTGGTTGTGGTTTTACTTTTTCACATACCAATTTGAAGAAATTTTTGCATCATTTAGGCAAGACAATGCTTATGGATATGTTTTATGGTGCGACTGAAGGAATTGTAAAACACCGAAGAAGATTTCACTTTCATGAGGTGACTGCATACTGGTGCACAGTGTGGTGTAATTTCACTATGCCATCTTTTGAATTTTATTATGTGAATTATTTTCCTAAGCAGCTGTTATGCAATTCTACTTGGAAAATTTAAGTTACAAGTTCTTATTACTTTCTGTTCATTTGCCAGTCTCCACTTTGCTAGCTTTTATTTGGTTCATCATATCTTGTTTCTTCTTGGTTTCTCCTTGTCAATGTTGGATGGGCATATGTAAGCCCTGCTATATCTTCTTTGACTTCTGGCATGTCTTTCTCTTGACTGTAAGGCATTTGGTGAGAGAACCCTAGGCATTCCATAAGATGATAAACCACAAACAAAAGACTTGTAGAGTTTAAGGCAAATGAGATTAAAATGGAGCATATATTGCATTTATTCTAATTATAGCTTCTTTTTGCTTGATGCTTCATATCAAAGGTATAACAAACTCTCATGGATTCTATATTGAAAGTTCTGTAGTAGGTCTAGTCGTTGCTCTATCCTTGTTTTTCTTGGTAAGAAGCTTAAAGCTGATTGATGGACGTAAACAAGACTTTCTGGGTAGGTAGTGCAAGAAGGCAGCAGTTAAAAAGTTGATAACTACTTCTGTAAAAGCAGAAGAAGAATGAATCAAACTTTCAGAATTAGCACATCATGAAGTTGGTACAGGAGGATAGAATCACAGAACTAATAGGGAAATATTTAACGTGCCACAGTAGTCAGTGACACCATATTTGCTTTACCTATAATGTTTCTTTACAAACCCATCATGTGTAGATATCAACATTAACAGATGGAGGAGTAGGTTTTATATTAAGACCACTCTGTACCAACTAATGCTTTGGCAAATCAAAAGTACTCACTCCTCATCTGGCTTGAGGAATGTTGACCAACAGGAAGCATGCAGAACACAAATAAAGACACACACACACACACACATACACAATATAAGTTGGTTCGGGCTTAACTTGCTTCAAACCTTAATTTTTGCAGATTTTCATTTTTGTTTCCATAATTATTTTTTTATTGCTCTTTAAAAATGTCTTTTCTCAACAGGCTATGCTGTTAATAAATGAGCACATGCATAAGATATGGAAGGATCAAGTTAAGAATAAAAGTTTGCAGTCAAGTATTTCTAGTTGGATTACTAATCTTCCTTTTGATACAAAAATTAAAGAGTGGTTAGCTGCAGAAGAAAGATATAAGCAAGAGGTGCAGATGAAAAACATCCTTCCTGCTGTAGCTGATAAGTTTCTCACTGAAGCCCATGGAAATCATGCAGGAGCTAGCCTTCTGTGCTTTGATGAAATACAGGTCTGATGATGTAATGTTTCATCGATTTACTTTAGTGGTTCTTCAAGAATTATCTACATCCTTACCTACAGATATCTGTTACTGTCTTCTCTATACATCCTTTTTTTTGTTAGTTATCTGAGCAAGAATATTAGGT